TCCTTGCAAATTTCGTGGCCCTCCATTGTTAGTGAAAAAGAAAAGCTCAAAAAAATTCAAACAACCATAACTTGAGTTCTAGGCCACCAAATTGATTGATTCCAAAGCCAAACTTGTGTAAAATCTTGAGAGGAACACATTGATACCCTTAGTTTTGCATGGGGATCCTTGTAGAGAGATCATTGGCCTAAAGACAAAATTATACTAAATGACAATTTTTAGGCTAACTTTGGGAGAGCATATCTCCCTCCACAGAGGTCCAATAGGGACTTGCCATACATCATTTTTAAGCTTTAGATGTCAACTATGTTGTGTCAAAATTTGGTAGCATTTGAGGATGTGTAGCAACTTATAGAAGCGTTTGAGTGGAGACTACCCAAAGGGCCCTGCACATGGGGGCTGTTGGGTCACTGTTTTGCAAAAATTATTCCTCCCTCAATTATTACTCAAATTAGGCTCATGATATGTAAAATTAAATCTTAAGGTTTGTAGTTTACTGTATAAAAATTTAAGAGAAATTGGTTTAGTGGTTTGTTCAGAATCGCAGAAATAGTAAGGTATGTTTGGTGCCCTGTTTTGGGTTGGCTGGCAGTTTTGCTTGTCCAACTTCAAACGGTGATAACCAGAGCAAATGAGAACTTTATGGGGCGTGTAATACTTTGTTGGAAAGGTAATTGAGTCTAAAATAAAATACTAAAATATGAGAGGCTTGTAACCATTATTTTACGCACAGTGTCCAGAAGATTGAACCATGTTCAGTTAAGTAAAAATCGTAAGTGAGATTTATACTCAGTGGGTTTATGGGAACCCCTTAGTGACTTAAGATAAGCAATGTATCATAGTTAGGCATTTATTTTAATTATTCCACATTTATATTTCAGTTATGATTGCAGCTTTCATCATTACGTTTTAATTATTGTTTTAAATGCTTACGTAATGAAAAAGAAAAAGTTTACTTGCATTTTTAAATGAACTGATGTGATTGTAACTGCGCTTAATATCATAATCAATGTTAACAACACCGGTACGTAACAGATTGTTACACCTGGCATATCAGCGGTTGTCCAAGCAAATAAACCTATATGTTTCAGTAAAATTGCAATAAGCGCAGTTTTTTCACTTTCTTGCATATGTCATCTGATTTTGTAACATCAACGTGCAAATCTTCGCGCACGTCAAAGTCCATCATATTGATAGAAGTTTTTCCCTTATTCACCTCTACGGTTTGATGAACAATGGACTTACTAGTAACTCTCAGACTAGTATTATAACAGCTATGCGCTATCTCCTGATAACCTCTAACTGATATAATTCTTCCAGAAGAACTTCTAAATTTTAACAAAATATGGGGCATGGAAATAATTGCGGCCAATGTGGATGGGCGACCCAGAATAACATTATAAGTTGATGGGCAATCTATGATATAAAAAAGTACCTTGATAGTTTTTTCACTAGGCAAAATTCCAAAGGTTACTACCATTTTAATAGTACCTTTAGGTTGTACGCATTCACCAAAAAATTTAAGTAAATCCGCACAACCAGGAACTATCTGTTGCTCTGGGGTGTTCATTGCGCAGAATGCCTCGCAAAAAATATCCGCTGAACTTCCATTATCAACAAGAATCCTCTTTACCTACAGATTTGCCATGCATACAGAAATCACCTAAGGATCATCATGTCCGGGTATGATATCTCCATAGTCATCATCGTCAAAGCTTATTAACTCACGATCCTTTTGATAAGTTGTGTCTCTCACATGGTTGCTCACAGTCATTATCGCTTTCAAGTGTCGTTTCCTTTATGAGGAAGTTTCTCCTCCTCCTGCTGCCCCACCAGCTATTGTTGCTAAAACTATAGCTGCATTGTTGGGCAATAATGGTTGATTATGGATCCTCATTTTCTAATCGCATTGTCTTTCATGAGGAGATCCTTCCTTTTGTCTATCATTGCGCTTGTAAGGAGCATATTCATCCCTTCGGGTATTAGTCCAATTGTAATCTCTCCTTTCTTGAAGCCTTCTCTTATCAGGATTTCTATCAATATCGGGGTTTCTAGCACGCCTTTTATGCGCCTTGTAATCTCTACACGTAGCAATAAATTCCTTAAGCTTCCCTTCTCTGATTAGTGCCTCAATAGTGTTTTTAAGGTCGTAACACTCCTCAGTATGGCCAACATCATCATGGAATTCGCAGAACTTGGTTTCATCGCGTCTTCCATTTTTCTTGAGTGGGGCAAGTTTTGTTATATTAACAAAACCAGTCTAAAGGACTTCTTAATGCGCCTGCGAAAAGTATTTAAAAGGGTATAGTTGTCAAACTTCTCCCATTTTTTATTTTCTTTAAAGCACCTTTGGTAATCTCTTTGAAAACGCTTCTCAAAGTTATTGAAATCTATTTTCTCAACAAGGTCATCACAAGACCGCTTATAATCTTCCAAATTTATGAACTTTTCGAATTGCGCTCATAATTCCTCAATAGTTCTTGGGCGGTGTTTTGCTAAAGATGTGGAGAATGGTCCATCTAATAAACCATCAGTAATAAAATGCAATGAAATATGAGGATCAAGATCCTTCACCAAAAGAGCTTTATCAAAAAATCTATTAAGGTAATCGCGCAAACTTTCACTCGCGCCTTGCTTAACATTCTTCAAGATATGAGTTGACTTGTATTGCACTTTACTGGTAGCAAACCTTACAAGGAATTGATTTGCGAAATCCTCCCAATTATGAATTGAATTTGATGGTAAGGCAGAATACTATCTAAGGGCTTCCTTAAGCGTCGTTGGAAACAAACGACAAGCAACTGCATCTGAAACATCACGTTCCATCATTTGGTCTGAAATTGCTCCAAATGTTCTTGAGGGTCACCTTTCCCGTTGTATTTCTCTATAGTAATCTTGATGTCCCTTGGAATTGATAAATTCATCACCTGAGAAGTGAAAGGATGTGCTACTCGAGAAAGTGTTTTCGAATTTTCCTGGGAGTTTTCATGTAGTTCCTGCACATCAGTTTTCTTTTTCTCTTTATTTGAAGGACCGAGATCTCTTTTTAAATACTCTGGTCCTGGTTCACTTTCATCTGATTTTTCGATTTCCAATTCCTTTTCTTTTTCTTTTTCTTTTTTCTTTCTCACTCTATGACTTTTTTAACTGACCTAATTCCCGATTTTGTTGTGCAATTTTTTTATTTTGTTGGGTGATAAGCTCTAACAGTTGTTGGGTGGTGGGTGGATTTTCATTGCGCACGGAAACTGGGGTAACAGATGACGCGGATTTCTTATGAGAAATTTGTCCCTTTTTTTCTTTCCTTTAGAGCCATTTTGAGATTTGCTTCTGGTATCAACCGTGTTTTTTATTTGTAGAGAATTGGGATTCAAAATTTATCATTTCCCACAGACGGTGCCAATGATCAGTCCAGTCCAAGATAGGATGGACCAAATCGCACACGATTGAAGGTTAAAGATTGTGGGCCTTAAGGTTGTTGCAAGATAGTCTGGTACAATGGTGGAATAGGCTTCACCTTGAAGTGTTTATGTTGTAGCTTTGGCGCAATGAAAATAACTGGGGAGGGCACCTGCAAAGATACTCTGACGCTCAAATCAGTATCAATACGAGGTGTATAATATTTAACTGAGAGATGTTTGTACCTGGATTTGTACCCTCTATATTTATAGTGTGTTATGTGTCATCCTTCATAGGCGGCATCTCTTCTTATTGGTGATTTAGGGTGGCTGCCCTCCTATCACAGTTGGTGCCCTTCAAGCTATTCCTTGATGAACAAGTCTAGATGCTAGTCTGTCTCCTTAGAATAGTGACAAGTTAGAGTCATCCCGTCTATACTAGCTCTTATGCACGGTGGACCTTATCAAATCTCTATGGCCTTCCTTAGTCCTTAAGTTTTACCCTGCGGCTTAATGCGATGGTATGCGCAATGAGGGTGGTTTGCGCCATGAGGATGGTCTGCGCAATGAAGAAGTTACGTCCATCACCTCTGGGTCCCTCCTGGGCCTCTAATTATTGGGCCTGTATTTTATTCGGATCAGGATCCTAAGTTAAACTGTATAAAATAACACAAATATAAATATTAAATATAAATGAAAATGTAAAAATTGAGATAAATAACAATCAAATGGGATTAGAGGTTTAAAATAGTTATTGACTAGTTAAAGGAATGATTTAACCTAAAATTATATATATATATATATATATATATATATATATATATATATATATATATATGGATCAGGATCATTTTACACCGGTGTAAGACTAATAAGTCTTACACCACATCTCAGTCGTTGATTTTCGGACATCCAACAGTTATAATTTAAAAAGACATACGAATTAATTAATATTAATTAATCATTAATTAATTACAAATACCAACCGATGATTTCCGTCCATTAACGACTAAGAAGTGGTGTAAGATTTATTAATTTTACACGGATGTAAAAAGAACCTTCCCTATATACTAAAGGTAATACATAGTTAAGTTTGCAAACAAAAAATTTGTAAATATAATAAACTTAACTATATACTAAAAGTAATACATAGTTAAGTTTGTAAACAGAAAATTTGTAAATATAATAATGTTGTAGCACATCAGTTTGATTTGGATATTCCCTCAACACATTAGTCATAATTTATGTGCCCATCGCCTTTCAGGAGCCATGGTCGTGCGGCGAGGAACCCAACTATCATTGGCTCATCACCTTCCTCCTTCCAAGCCATGGCATCAACACATCAGTCTTCCCCTTCCAACCAGTCACATTCTGAGCCTAGTTTAATAACAATGCGACAACGTACAGCATGAGCTAATAAAATTCTTAACTTCCGTTCATCAAAACATGATTGATGTAATATAGATTCGGGTGAAAAAAGTTGAATTATTTTTGCATTACCAAATATAAAATTAATTCATCTTAACTAGAGGTTTTGCAAATTATCTTCGAGGGACGAGAATAGCATTACCAGTTCTGATATTTGCAAAATTTTCGACCCCCCATGGGAATCCTCCAAAAAATAACCGCGTCAGAGTACAGAGCAAGATGTTAGTTTTACAATTAACAAGATTTCACAAAACTCCATGGAAAGATTTAGGAAAAAAATTGCAATTTTTGATATGTAAGAAAATTTAATTGGCTTAGGCACCATCTTTGTTGATGATAATAGCATTTGACTCAACTGTTATATATTTCAATTCATATACCAACGTTCCTGTATATGACAGTATCTCCTAGGAAAGTCATTTCTTGCATGAAAGATAGATGCCCGATATTATGGCCACCCCAGCCACGGCAACACCGACAGATGTAAAGATTCTTAGCGCAGAGATACCCTGTTTGGGAGATGGAACTGTCATGAAATCCTTTATCTGAGAAACAGCAAGGAAAACTGAGGTAAGAAAATCTGACAATGGATAATAAAAGAATAATACTATGATTTTGGAACCAAAAAAATTGCAAAACAAGAAAAAGATCCGGTTCTTAATAGAATTTCAAAATGGGTGCAGCTCAGTAATGTTTTTTGTGCTAAAAATACTTCTAAATTCCAGTATATCCGCTTTGAAGCGCACACAGGATGATCTACAGCGTTTATCACAATTATATTAATAGAAATAATTAAATGTTCACCAACCACGACAGGTTGCTTCCAATGCTTCTTTATTCCTTGTAGATGCCCCTTTCCAACAACAGCAACAACTGAGCTGTTCTCACTTGCCACTTTTAATAATGTGGAGGACATGTATCTGAATAGACGCAATATAAGTCAAATAACCTATAATATATAGACAAAATATAAATACATAATTGTAGACAAATTTTATGCAAAGGTAAGGCTGCGTACAAGGATTTCCTCCACCACACACTTGCTAGTCGGGTTTAACGGGAAATGATATTTTTTTTTTTTAGACAAAGCAGAGTCCATTTGAACTAGTGCAGTCACCCTGAAATGCTACTTTGCGAAGTACATCTAAAACCATAACAGTCTTTTTCAAAGTAATGGCAAGGTCTAAGTTTAGCAAGACATGGGATGGGAGAAGAAACTGTAGGATTATGAAAGTTACAAGAACACTCTAGTTATCAAAAGGAAGAAAGGCATACAAAAGATAACGAAACATATACAGTCCACAATCATAGATAATGAGAACACTTTCTCGGACAACATTGTTTTGTTCCTCGTGATGCTGTGATTACGATATACTGCCGATTGCATCTGTGAAGAAGCTATTTCATTTAAATTCCCGGAATCCTCTAGTGCACTAATCCAAAGGCCTAACTAGATGATATCAACCAAAAAAAAACGCTACAGTTTGGTCAATTTAAAGGCATTTCCATATTCTATCCTCGGAAAGAAAAAGGGGTAAGAAGTCCAAGCCTCCAAGGCATCTGGATTGAGATATTGAGAGGTTGGCTAGAATATGGAGAGAAGCCAAGACCAGAACCATATCCAGGATACCCTCCAGGGGCCCTTTTGCTAAATGGTAGCATAACTAGGGCGACAAATGTTAACTGAATCATCATTTATGGAGTAAGCGAAGCAGGTAAACTGTAAATTGAATTAAGTGCAGTAGAACTTACTGATCTCGTTCGTGCACAAGAGTCTCCATTAAAGTTGGAAACTCCTTGCTCATTTCTTGAATAACAAAAGTTAGCATGTCGCTGTCATCCATTTCCTTCAGCTGAAGAAAGCAAACCCAATTTAGGATACAGACAAAACCATAGCACAAACACAATCAATCCACACTTATCACCAGCGCATGAGAATTTTCAAGCTTACCAGTTTATTAAGATCACCAGAGCTGGGTAAAAAAACTGCTTGGAAGATTAAAGAGTACAAAATTTTTATCTTATGCCAAAGTGGCATCTTACTCCATGTTCTCCTTAATGTAATCTGTGTCAATCAAAATCAAAATACAGTAACAAAAAAGTTGCTTAAGCATCCCTGCACAATGGAAACCAAGTTGAAAGCACATGTAACAAAATAGTAAATGTTAACAGAGAGGAAATGAGAAACATATGGTGAAATCTGTGTGTCTAAACTACATAACAGAGACTAGATTATACACCCAAAAAATAATAAATAAAAGAGATCATGGTTATCCTAATTACCTAAATATACAATTCTAATCAATGATCCTATACATTATTTACATGATTTCTAACACTCCTCCTCAAGTAGTAGCATATAAGTTATGTGCACCAAACTTGTTACATATATATAACTTATTCGAGTACACCTCAAAGACTTAATGAAGACAAACACTAACTGATCATTTGAATTGGCAGTGAGTGACAGTATCTTCCTGGACTGTTTTGGAACTATTTGCAAAGGTTATAGTAGGCAAGTAACCAGATGCATAAAGCGAGGAGAAAAGGGACTGATTGCCGGAGATATGACCAATGATACCAGAATTAAGAACCCAAAGACCAAGGGATAGCAATTGAAAGAGACCAATGAAAAATTACTGATCAGCACAACAAAGGTAGTGGAGGTTGAGGCCAAACACTATTGAAATCACTTAAGGAAGTGAGCAGAGGAGGCTGGTGTTGCGGCAGGACTAGTGGACGGTTCAACGAGGTTTGGTGTGTTAGAGGAACCTGTTTGGGAAACATTAGCTGAGCAAGGAGAAGAGTCCAACACTTGTCAGTGTTGTGCCCTAGCCAATGGAAGTTATCATATTGAGGACAAGATTGACTACATCTGTGTGAACAATTATGATTGCCGCTTTAAGATACAAGGGCAAAGGAATCGACTGAAACAAAAGCAGGGGGTTGTTCAGCTGGAACACACAGCAAAATGGACCACACACGTTCAAAGTTGTGATAGTAAGGAATCCCAAAATTCGATTACTTCTATTGGAGTAATATGCAAGTAAACCATACAAGGCCAACAATATGAAAAATGCATTGCACTGTTCAAGAACCTGTGCAGGGGTTGCAATTGGGGGTAGAAGTTCATTAAAATCATGTAGTGCAGTATGAATCTTGCCTTAATAGGCGGACATAGAACCATCAAATCTCTAAGGAGCAATGACACTCATGAAGTTTTGGTATATCCCATAGAGGAGACATTGAGTGTCGTTGGTATAGAGTACTTCATCCTAAGTCCAGCAGGTGACATGGGCACGGAGGATCTGTTTGAGGGAAAGATGAATAGTAGCTTTAATGATGCTCCAAAGTTGGGCGCCAATTTAAGCCCAAATGGACAGTTTTGAACTAGCATCGAGTTGGTAGTGAGGTGGTCCACATATTCTTGAAAGTTGATCCATAGCTTGATATCAGATACCCAAGTGTCCTAATTGGTACCGCACAACTTTTTTGTGCATAGAGAGACACTGACGTAGTTGGTGAAGGGGTTCAGCCTTCAAAACATCCTTAGGACCTATGAGGAGCTAGATCCAGCCACGATTCACACTGGGCAATGGAGAAGAAGGCTGGACATGACTTGATCTGAGGAGAGGTGGGCATGGGCTCACAGGGGAGCGGAGAAAAAGGTATGGATGGGAACCACCAAAGAGTGAACCAAGGAGGAAAACACCAAAACCGAGAGGAGGCCTAGGAGAGCACAATGTAACCTGATGCGGACTGAAAAAAGTCTCCAAATGCTGCTAAGCAGGCACCAGAGAAAGGAGTAGGTAGACCGGAGATGGAGCATGTGTTGTTGTGTCCAAGGTCTGTCAGACACTAGCTTTCCAAGCATGGGCCGAGCAAGATGAGGCGCCACTCCATTTCCGAGGGTCACTAGCCAAAGAGGACGACGGCCGGAAATGGCAGACAACAATTAGACAGAGAACCGAGGTGGCTAGAAAGAAGACGTGGCTAGGGTGACCGAAAACCAAAGTTGAAATACGATTTCCAAAAAAAAATGGCACCAATGGGCAGTGGGTCTTTCATGTAGGTATGGAATATGGTTGCCTATTTTTAGACTCTAGATACAGTGTTAAGAAAAGTGAAAATGAGAGACATTTGGTGAAATCTGTGTCTGAACTATACAATAGAGACTAGATTATATAACCAAAAAGTAATAAATATTGAGATCATGATTATTCTAATTACCATAATTAGACCATTCTAATTAATAAACTTAAACACTATTTACATGGTTTCCAATGTAAAAAATTAAAAATAAAATTACTTGAATTATAATATTTTAGTACATTTCAACATTTCTCCCATGCTTAGGGAAAGAATTAAGCGTAAACTTGTAAGCATTGAACATTTTCCAGTGAGAATATTTAGGAGATTGAGGACTTGAGGGGAAAAAACCATATATTTATTTATGATGTAGGATGGAGTTTTTAGAGGGTAAGCCTTCATGCAACAGCAAGAATGCTGCCTGGTGAAATGGCGGTACGAGTCCTAACCCTCCCTAGACTCCATAATGGTGGGAGCCAAATGCAGTAGGCCACCTCATTCTTACGATGAAGTGTAGACAAAGATGTAGCATTCCCTGTCCAGCCACTAAATATTACTACTAGCCTTTCTAGTGATGATACAACATGAATTTATCATCTATAGAATACCAAGAGTCCAAGACATGCTAAATAAAGGATAATAAGTTACATTATGGATTAGCAATATTACAATATCGATAAGCAATATCAGCAATTTTGCTTCCATAGAAATGTGTAAGATATATTCTTCAGTGCAAATGGCTTAATGAGGTTGAAGACTATTCAGGGAATAACAGATTCAATTACACCGAGTCTTTATAATAGAGTAATATTTTAAATTAAAAGAGAACTACAATTATTCCTAGCATTCAGCAAACTTTAAAATCAAAAACTCATCCAACCTCTACAGGGCGGTCACCAAGTATCACCCTGCCACCATACTTGATTGCCTCTTCATATGCCACACGAAACTCAGAGCCAGGAAAGACCTCGAGCTTACTAGCAATCTGTCAGAAATTTAAGGGGAGAAAAAGCATGGTAAATGAGAAATACAGTATTCTTGAATAAGGAATCAAATTTCAGCATTTCAAAATCTAATAGGGATGATAAATATGATTGTCAAACAAGCATACCTTGGCAAGGAACCAGCCATAGAGTACTCCAAACATGTTATGCTTTTTTTTCAACATCGTAATCATTTCTCCCACAGTGGGTACCTGGAAGAAGCGTAATGATGGAACCAATGAAATCAGTTGACGCAAAATTTGAATAATAACATATAGGCCCTTAAAAAAATATAATTACAATTATCATTTTCCTGCTGAAAGAAAAGATGAATGTTTTCTCCTTTACGCAATAGGAAAAATAAACTACTCATAAGTAAAAGGTTTAAATCATCAAGGTAAATAAGCCAATATATATGAAAAAAATGTAAAACGAAAATGATGATTTCCCCCCTTTAGTAAAACACCAGTAAGCCATATAAAAATATACAGAAATCTGATAACTCATCCAATACAAACCTGAACCATGATGATATTCTCTAACAGTAAAATGTTTTCTTGCATACTTATGCTCTTAAAACAAGACAGTACAAAAGGGGAGGAGGGGGGAAGCTGACACAAAGTGATAAAATAATTATTTAAAAAAAAAAAAACTAAAAGAGTGGAAACCTTATAATTTTGAATGGTAAGCACTGCGATACGACTCGAGCACAATTCTAAGAAGACAACCTGCAGCAAACAAAGGTCAGCCATAGGGTTTCATCATTAAAAATCTAAAAGGTGAAGGGACAGCGAGAAATTAAAAGCAGGAAGCTAAGCATGTGGATGATCTATCCATCAATGAAGTGTTACTGAGTTCAAAAGGGAAACAACACCTGTGGTTTCAGAAAATCCACTATGGCTCGAACTTCTTTGCTTGATTCCTGCAACATAGTTCAGCATAGATGTTAAGCTCTAACTCTGTTAATTCACCATATATAATTATAACAATCACAACCAATACAATGAAGAGAAGTATAGAAACAAGGCCATTTATTCTCTGCAAAGCAACGACACAATAACAATTCCAATTGAAACGAATGCGAAAAAGAAAAGAAAGAATTTAAAAAAAAATTAATTTTTTTTTTCTGATTGAAGACAGTAGTGAGAATGTAGAATGCAATCAAACTCAAAACGCGATCCAAAATCAAAAGAAGAAACACCTCGGAGACATGAGCGGTGCCGACCACGTAGACGTCACAAACGCCGCCGTCAGCGGTGGACTCGCACGAAAGGACCAGAACGTTTCTGGAGAGCTCATCCGGAAGCACCGCCGGACGGCGATCCGAGTCCGCCGGGGATTCAGGAGAAAGCGAAGCAGCGGCGGCATCCGAGGGCTCATCGATTCGAACCATGCTCTCCGACAAGCTCTCCATCCTCAGATCCTCGATGTGAATGAAGTCTTCGCCCTCCACGGCGGGCGCACCGGAATCCGGCGGTTGAGCGTCCATCGCCGGCCGAAGGAGAGGCTGTGTTCGGTGGCGGACGGCGAGGGTTTTGGTTGAGATTTGGGCGAAGGTTTTGGGTTGGGAACGAAGGATTGTTGTTTTGGGTAAAGGTTTGGGACGAGGATGAATGAACGGCGTGACTCGGGCGAGTTGAGAACGAGTGACCAGGTGAGTCATGCGCTATTGAAACTTGAATTGAATGTGGGTTCTCAGCTACTGAATGGCACTCTGAAAAAATGCTTCGGTTTTTGCTATTCCAAACAGTTTTTCTTTCTTTTCTTAAAAAATCTTTTGACAGTAACTCTCTTGTTTTCTTAAAAATGATAAGATTCTTTAAATGAATTACTTCATGACGTGTGAATTGTTTATTTAGAAGAAGATAGGATATTGTTACTCCCAACTAGTGTTATTATTAATGTAATTATCATTTCTTTTACAGTTAGATCAATTATATTGATTCAACAGTTATAATTTAACTTTTTAACAATTTTTTTTTCTTTATATTTAATACTTTATATTTATTTTTATCTTTGTATGATTATGATTTTCTATATTTAATATATTAAATATGAGAAATAATAACCGGTAAAAATAAATAAAATCATTATATCAACATAATTGATATAAAAGTGAAACAAAATGATAATGACATTAATAACATTAATTAATAGTAACAATATTTATTTATTTTTAGAAAAAAAAGTTTTTATTTTGAGATTTTTATTTTATTTTATTTTATCAATTATTCACGCAATTCTAAACCGCAAGTGGTGATTCGCGTAGTGCAAATGAAGTTGTTGTTGGTAAGCAAGCATAAAGACTAAACAAAAAAATTATTATAATAATTGTGTAGATAATCGAAGTTAAGTTCATCTATCCAAAATTTCAATAACTTTGTTTCTAAGCTTGCGAGTATAATAACAACTTAATATTAAAACAAAGATTGTCCAATGCTACTTGTCAAAAGTCAAAACTTGACAAATTCTTCGATGCAATAATTTTCAGCTAAAGAATCGGATTCAAAATTATATCAGCACTATTAAACATTCTTGCATTAGCATCATAGCCTAGATGGAACACTTTCGAATTAGAATTGTACGTTTCGGATCTATAAGCCCATTATGTTCTTTTTGGGATGAGTCACTGTATGGATGATACCCTTAGCACAGGTACAGACCAAGCTAAGGAGTATTGTGCCAAGTAATAGCAGTTAATCAACAAGGGATAAGTAAAGATGACAATATGACTCTAAGTAAATGTGCAATATAACGATACATAAGATACCTTCAAGGTGTGCCCTTAGGGGCTATTTATAGGAAAAATGGTGTGGGTTGGTGAGGAGGGGGTCAACCCTCCTTGGGGTTTACTCCCATGATGGCAGTGTTAGGCGTGCTGGCGCTGCCATTGTGGCAGCGCTGCGCCCTCTGCGTCTGACGATGTCAGCACCGGGCAAAGGGGTAGTTTCCCTTTAAGGTGCCTTTGGGGGTTAGCGTCCCAAGATGGAACACTTCGGTGTATCCCTTGGACGTGCTGCAACGTTGGGGGATGAGAGGGTCCACGTTAGCCCTTAGGGCTGACGCGGGTTGGAGCTAAGGACTGGGCCTGAACAGCTGGGACGCTTCAGTGTTTGGGCCATCCGGATCAGGAGCCCCCCAGCTTGGTAGCATGCGTAGGTTGGTGCCAAGTTATAGTCTTTGGGCGTTACCTTTTCGGCGATCTCCGTGATTGGTAATCTTTGTTAGCTGGTGTCCAGACGATATCGTTGGGCGATATCAACGTGGTGTCGCCACTCAAATATAGTAGCAGACTTGCGTTGGTGCCAAGTCGCAATCATTGGGCGTCCTCCGGTTGGTGTCGCCCATTCAGGGATTTTGGTCGTCCTTGACTGGTTGCGGGAATAGCAACAGTTTTGTCTTTCGCTCTTCCAGAGGTACTCTGGGTATTTCGCCCTTCTGACACGAAGGGTGTTTAGTGGAATTCGAGGAGTTATAATGATGGATTCCTCATCATTGCAAGTAACTGCGTTGTTTCGAGGCACGACGCATTAATGCGACGTGAAGGGTGTCTTATCCCCTTGAAATTACCATCCAGCCCCTCATCACAACCGCCCATCGACTGACGGTTACTACATCTCATGGTCGGAATATCAAAAGGCAGTACACGTGTACGCCATCTTGCTCTCCTTCCTTCTATAAAAAGGAGATTTGTTCCCTCCTGAGGGCCTTCTTCACGCTAACTCCTACTCTTCCTGTTTCTATCATTACGTTGTGCTCCTTTCTCTTTGCCATAGCGTTCGAGCTGGTCTTCCTTTCTTCACTGTCTGCATTTATCTCAGGTATAGTGTCTCACTCTTTCTCCTTTGATATTCCTTTGTGCTTCTTTCTGTATAGCTTCTCCTCTTCTTTTTCTGGGCACGGTAACAATCATGGATGTTCCTGGGTTGGTTTTACCGGAGTTGGGGGTTGAGGTTAAGGAGGAAGAGTTTGATGAAGCCTTTGGCTCACTCGAAGGCTGTACGGTGGGGCCAGCTATGCAGGCATATCTTGCTAAGCGTGGGGAAAGCAGCAGCTTTCCCTTCTATCGTTCTTTAGTCCCTGGGGTAGAGTCTTTGCCCCATGGTAGAATTCCGGAACTTATGGGTTTTTCTGAAGAGGAGATTCGGAGTCTCTTGCCTGAATGGGCTTTAAGGCCTGTGCTTCCTTATTTGGGTGAAGCATCTGGCTCTCGACCGCGTGGTGAGGGCCAAGTGTCAGGTGGTGAGACCGCTTCTGGGTCTGGTAGGCGTCGGCCTACTGGGTCTGGTAGGCGACGGTCAGGAGGTTCCAGTGAAGGGGTTAGGACTCGCCCTTCTCGTCGTGGTTCAAGGTCTTCTGTTCGTACTTGCGGACAAAGGAAAGGTTTTCACCGCCACGTTTCACGGCGTTCTGCCCTTGGAGCAGGGTGACTTGTTCGGCCATTGTCCTCTATTAACCGTCTCCCACAAAATCGTCCCATAGAGTATTACTATAAGCCTTCCCACCCGACTGTTGACTCCCATGTTGCTTTGAGCACGTCACGGGGCCATATTCCTAATATTTCCCCGTCCTTCCATCACCGTACATATGACGAGTCCACAGACAACCAACTAGGTAGATTTCACTCGGAAGATGGGCGACTTGTGAAGTATGGTGTGTAGGACGCCATATATGAAGATCTGGGGCTTTATAAAATACCGCCTGCTTGGTGGCCTTCTTCTTTAAGCTACTCGAATTTTTACTCTTCAAGCTCTTCAGAAACTTCTGATTCTGATGGTAAGTTATTTGTGTTAGTTATTTTTTCTTATAGTAGCTGGTAAGGAGGGTGTTGGCAGTCACAGGGGTGAGGGATAGGGCGAGATGGAATCTCATTTTCCTTCGCAATGGTCTTCTTGGCGTTGGTGAAGTATTGAGGATTAATTGTGTGTTTGTCGCTCCCAGGTAGGATTTAAAGATACTTTCTTGACTTATGGCGATGTCTCAGTCGGACGATTGTCTCGAGGTGAGGAACTGGGTCGACACAGTGGTAGCTACTTTGTCATCAAGTTACGCTGACCGGGACATTTTGCGTCGCCACTACCAATCTAAACCTAGCTTCACCATTACTGAAAACGGCGCCAATGAGGCTATGTGGCAACCGTTCGCGGTCAGGAGTGATTGTCGCGCTTGTGACGCGCCTAGTAATACGGTGAAATCTCGATGGCGGTTCATGGTATATAAGACTCACTTCACAGATTAAAAAGTGAGGTTTCCGCTAACAGAGTTTGAGATGGGGGTACTATCCCACTTACAGGTCGCGCCTTCGCAACTGCATCCAAACACTTGGGCGTTTGTTCGAGTCTTTGAGAGTATATGCCGATACATCAGATGGGAATAATCCGTACGGTTGTTCTTTTATTGCTTCCAAGTGTCTCCTTCAAAGAAGAAGCTTGGCTGGGTTTCGTTGAAGGCGGGCAACGTGCTAGGATCAATATTTGCCCCATTATGCCAATTTGTATAAGAACTGGCGACACACTTTTTTCTGGATCGAACCGGTGTTGGGCGAGGGAGAGCTTCCTTTTTTTGTTGACCGGGCGAGTAGGGAGTGTCGGTTTCCCCTGTATTGGACTAAGACTCATTACGAGACGCCCGCTGGTTAGTATTCTTTTGCTCTTGGAAGCTTGACTCCTGAGGAGATACGAGTGGTTGACAGGTTTGTGAAGGTAAAGGAAGGTCTTGACCGGTGGCCTTCGAAGCAAGTGTTGTGCCATGGAGGTGTGGTGGCGTTCTGTGTTTTTGGCGTCTGTGATGATCTTTTTTTTTCTTTACTAACGCTTGACTTAATCCAGAAAGGCGGTCTTTACTAACTTTTCCTTTACTGTTTGCAGTTGGAAGCATGGCGGCGGAAATGCTGAAACTTGCACACGAGGCAGCTGCTAAGCTGAAAGCCCGGCAAGGCGTGACTCCTCAAGCTCAGCCTAACCCTGCTCCGAAGAGGAAGGATACGGGCAAGGGAAAGGATAAAGAAATTCCGATCAAGAAGAAGAAAGTTCGTACAGCTGTTGACATTCCTGCTGGAGAATTGGAGAGAAGAGCCAATCACCCTATCATTAAGGAGCCTACTGGTGTGGCGGGTAACTCTTCAGCCAGCGAGTCGACGCTGGGATCCGGATCGTCTGCCCTTGGGGGGTCTGGCTTGAAACAGGGCGCAGATGCAAGTTTGACACCGCCTCGAGCTTCTAAGGCAGCACGCCACGAACCTTCAGAGGGTGGACATCTTGGTGGTAGTACCTGTGAGAGTGACCAGGCGGTCAACCATGCTTCGGTCGTTGGAGAGGGCGATCAACCCCATGTGATCTCTGGGGCTGAAGATTCTCCTCCTCCTCCTGCCGCAATTCCCGTTGGCAGGGCCCTTAGCTTGTCTGAGAGGGACCTTGTCAATGGATTTCCTAACATCAGGCGTCCTAAGATGGTGGTGCCTGAGCGCCTTGATCGTCAACAGTTTATGAATCACCCTTGCAGTTGATGAACGATACTCCTTACAAGAGGATCCCCTTGATGAGTTTGGGCGACAGGTGGATGGTCTTACTGCTTGTTAGTATATATGTGTCCTAGAGACAATCTTTTTGATTAAATAAGGACATAAGATGTGGACCTTTTTGTCACAAATAAATAATAAGCACTCTTTATCCTGTTTCATATTTTGTCTCGATATTATTGTTAATATATTACGAATAAAC